GTACATTTGCTGTTATGTTAAACTTATATTAAAGTTTTTCTTCATTACCCATTCAAGCCGTCTCCAGCCATTATCAACCACTACTGTGTCTGTCGATGAGCCACAGTTAATGGGTGTAAAGCTTTGTAGGCGTTGGGATATAGTAAGTACGTAATACAAAGTCATATAAGTCTAGATAATCGAACTGTTGCATCAGCCTAGTCCTAAATTTGAATTTTAAAATAAAAGGGGGTTAATTTTTATCTGCAATATCCTTTCGAGCAATACTTTACGGATTTCGATAGAACCGAATAGTCCCTCTATCTTACATTTATATTCCCCCCGAGACAGCGTTTTCCAAAGTTTTAAATAGAGGCGCCCCTCCCCCAATTCAGCAAAGTTTCAGTTGCGCTCTCCCCTTCACATTAATATAATTTATAATAATGTAAGTCACTTTTACAATCGTTGGTCGGTTTAAATAAATATTTTAGTTGTGTATTATAAAACGTTGTTCGTTTGTGGATTTTAGTATTCTAAATATATATACAAGTTCCTTGAATTTTAACTTTTTAATATTATTTTCTGTACCTGTTTTTAATAATTTTTGATTGAAAAAAGTTTGTAAGTAGTAAATGCGAGAGAAAAAAAAAGCTTTGAAGTGATAGTTTTGTGAGGTCATCGTCGTCTCAGTAGCTATTTTTGGGCTCTCTCGTTAATCCCCCCCCCCCCGCCAGGCACCAGTACACGCCCTACAGTTTGGAAAAAGTTTAACTTGCATTATAAAAGCGGTCCTCACCTTCTCACTACTAGAACGTTTCTTACAAACCTAACTATTTACACGTCAAGGTTTTCAAGTGGGTATTTTAGGCATAATTTACTCGGATTACTTATATATAATATATTACGTATATACATGAAACTCCTTCACATGACATATTAAAATACATAGTCAAATCTTCATAAAAACAGCTTGTAGAAGAAGGGAATAGCTTTTGAAAACTAAAAAGCCTTTTGATAAAGAATTGAAATTACAATCTTGAATAAGATGTTCAAATGGCAACTAGAAAAAAAAACACTCACCAGGACCCCTAGCTCCGCCACGTCGTAATCTGCCCAGACGAAAAATAACAGTTCTTTCGTATTCTTGGACAACCTGTTCATTGTCGAAAAGAAATATGTTTGTTCGTCAAATTTCGCACAAAGATACATGCGCTATCTGTCTCTGATTTTGAAGTGATAGACTAGAGAGAAGGCAGATAGTCAAAACCACCAACTGCCAAACGCCAAGCCGAATAGAAATATAATATACATAACAAAAATATGTAAAAAACAGTAAGCTAAAAAAAATTATTTTACATTTCCTTTTAATTAAAAATCCCCTAGTGACAGTAATATTAACATCTCCGTTACAAATAAATAGATAGACAACGCAAAACGAATTATATGACCAAAAAACATGGGAATCGTATTGAATTAGGAACTTGTTTGTTTGTTTGTTTTGAATTTCGCGCAAAGCTGCATGAGGGATATCTGCGCTAGCCGTCCCTAATTTAACAGTGTAAGACTAGAAAGAAGGCAGCTAGTCATCACCACCCACCGCCAACCCTTGGGCTACTCTTTTTACTAACGAATAGTGGGATTGACCGTCACATCATAACGCCCCCACGGCGAGCATGTTTTGGTGTGACGGGGATTCGAACCCGCGACCCTCAAATTGCGAGTCGAGCGCCCTAACCACCTGGCCATGCCGGGCCAGAATTAGGAACTCAAAATTAATTAATTTTTTACAATATTGTAGTACCTTACAAGCGCAATACAGTTTTTGTTTATAGGTACCACATATATAGTTAATGAATACATAATTATAGGTAAGGTTTTCGGTTTTAACTTGTAAAACTCGGCACACACAAAAAGTAATCATGCTTTATGTTAAGAGCACCAGTAAACAGATTTGTTTTTTGCAAAGGTTACAACTGGTTTTGCAGAAAATAAAAATGCCACATATAATCAATAAAGAACGAATTTTGCTAATTCTGAAACTGGTTAATAAATAATCCCCGAAATGTAAATAAAATATGTATATACCGATAGCCGGAAATCCTAATTATGGGTTATCCTATATTCCATATCATCATAATTTTCTTAGTAATTTACAACATGGAAAATAACTAATATTTACCTTAATACAGAACGCCAAGGAGAGTGGAAAGGTGCACAGAATTAACAATACAGAAATTCCCGTCAGTAAATAGGCACAAATCCCTGGGTTTGATGCTGTGTTACCTGTAGAAAGAAATCGAATAACTTTAGTCTATTTGAAACCAAAACTTGCCTTTTTTTCATTGAAACTCTTTGAGCTAAAAACGAGAACTAGCATTATATTGTTATTCAATGTAATAGCAAATTATCATTATATATATATTTCTCTGCGGCAATGCTAAAACATTTTCTTTAGCCGTGCGCTACAATATTTAAACAGTAAGTGTCACTGTTTTTAAAACTGGATAAGGCCTACTTCTCAGCAATGATGCCAGTGATCTTCGGGTATAATAATTATATTATTCTATGACAACTAACTTTTAAACTTTGTTCAGCTGGTTCGTGTTTAACGTAATGAGTTTTAGATCTACTATATAAAGCAAAGTGTGTGTGTGCGGGAAAAAATATACGGTCTTATATCCATCATTTCATATCTGTTC